AATCCTGATGCTGGGATGGATTGGGGGCAGGAGGAGAGGAGATGACAGAGGATGAGGTGGTTTGATGGCATCACTGACTCAATGGGCATGAGTTTGAGTAAACTCCAGGAGTTGGTGATAGACAGGGAGACTTGGCGTGCTGCGATTCATGGGGTCGCAGAGAGTTGGACATGACTGAGCGACTGAGCTGAACTAAACTGATACTGAGTTAACCTGTGAGAAGTGTACATGAGAGTAGGGGAGTGAAAACTGGGGCTTTAGGACCATGGAGGGGAGCCCAAGGAACCAGAAAGGACCAAGGAGCCTCTAGAGTGGGAGGAACCTGGGAAAGCAACCTCATAAAGTAGTGTCTGAACTCCTGGGCTTAATCTTGAGCTGAACATGCACAGGTCTGATCCTTAATTGCATACCAAAGACTCTGAGAACTCAACTTCAACATAGACTGCTGTCCAGGTCCCACTCAGTGGCACAGACCTGAGACTAATCAGAATAATACTACAGAGGCTTTGTGAGTGGAATGGACATTGAAATCATAACCTCCCAGAAGGCTGGGTAGAACTTGCCTCCTGAACCTGAGTGGATTGCCTAATAAGACAAAAGTACAAGGCTCAGAGTCTTTTAATATCCAAGATGCCAAGGATAAAATCCAAAATTACTCAGCATATAAGGAACCAGAAAAATCTCAACCTGCAGGGGAAAAGAAAACTAACAGATGTCAATACCAAAATGTTGGAACTATCTGACAAAAAAAAACTGTATAGCGGAGGTTGTAAAATGCACCTTAGTTTTTTTTTTTTTTACAGGTTCTCATATAAGAACTAGATCTTTTGCTTTTATTTATTTTAATTGGAGGCTAATTACTTTAGGATAATGTGGTGGCTTTTGCCACATATTGACATGAATCAGCCATGGGTGTACATGTGTCCCCCCATCCCGAACCCCCCTCCCACATCCCTCCCCATCCCATCCCTCTGGGTTGCGACAGTGCACTGGCTTGACTTTGAGTGCCCTGTTTCACGCATCAAACTTGGACTGATCATCTATTTCGCATATGGTAATATACATGTTTCAATGCTATTTTTTCAAATCATCCCATCCTGGCCTTTTCCCACAGAATCCAAAAGTATCTGGACCAGGCACAGAATTTAAAAATTACAGGTTATTTAAAAGACCTGTAAACATCTCCAAAGATGTTATACTTCCATGATTTCCATTTTCTTTTGGAAATCTCAGTTTTATGGGATTATGTAACGAGTTTACATAATCCCCATGTCCCTGTCTCTTCTGAGTCCCCCTTTCCTATGCCTGCTACTCTTTCACCAGCCACATCATCAGTTGGTATCTCTCTCCCTCCCAACTGGTAAGAGAGTCTTACCAGTTGATTTTGAATGTCCAGAATATTAAGCACTTGCTGCTGTAGTCAACACTGATCCAGCAGTGAAACTGTAAGCTGAAATTTACTCATGAAAGGAAAACCAACACTGACATTATGGGAAATCCTTCTTTACTTGCAATGTACAGTGCCTTATTTAAAAAAGATGAGCCAAAATTGAAACTTGTGGCCAATAAGGATCCTGTCCTTTCCTTTCTTGATGACAGGTAGATTCTCCTTTGGACTACCTTGACAAATAAATTAAATGTCCCTATTTCATAGTCAGAACTTTTCCATTTCTCTGATCTATCACTGTGGAGACCAGGTAGGAACCTCTTAAAGGCATCGCCAGTTCTTTGAATGCTGCTCTTGTTTTGCCACATTTCACAGGCTAGGAGTTATCTTTCTCTCTCACTCACAACTTTCATCTCCAACTACTTTACTAAGTATTTTATGTAATAGTAGTAGCAGTAGGAGCAAAAAAATTCAGCAGCCTGGAGGAAGTCTACATACAGGAGAAGAGAGAAAATGGAGCTTGGGAGGGAGAGAGATACCAACTGATGATGTGGCTGGTGAAAGAGTAGCAGGCATAGGAAAGGGGGACTCAGAAGAGACAGGGACATGGGAATTATGTAAACTCATTACACAATCCCATAAAACTGAGATTTCCAAAAGAAAATGGAAATCATGTAAGTATAACATCTTTGGAGCAAAGAATATTCTTTGCTCCTACTACAAACACCCACCAGAAAAAAATAAACATTTGGGTAAAGAAGTATGCATACTTCCTCTCTCCTTGGGTGGATGTCTGTGATTGCTGCTTTTATATCTACCTCAAGCCATTGCCATTGGCCTGCCATCTTTGTCTTGGCAGCAGAGAGATTGGGGGATGTGGGCCCAGGGAGGGGTTCTCCATATGGCATGCCATGGCAGGTTTTCATTTCCATTTTCCTCAAGCTCTGTGGGTACTCTGCACCCCAGTTCCCAGTTGTACTCTGGATAATGAGGGAAATTAATGACAACCCCTGACCTGGCCCTTTATTATTTCTCCCACTCATGGCTTGAGTTTTCATTTCTCATTAAGAGAAAAATCAAAGAGTGAGAATTAAACACCTCTTGATTTATTATCTTACTGAAAATAGGAAGTTGAGAGTCCTGGAGCTGGCACTGAATGAAGGGCTCAGCTGATAAGATGAGTCAGCCACTGTAGGCTCCCAGTGGCTGTCCTTCTTATCTTCTCTCTTGAGAGCCAAAGGGAACAACCTCACTTCCAGAAGTACTTTGAGTCTATGTTTAGGACTCGGTGTTGTAAAACCTGGCACCTTCTCTGAGCAGAGATAATAGGCTCAAATCACATTGAGTTTTCTGGTTTGGATTTGCAACCTTACTCCAGTGCTCAGTTATGTGTCTGCCCCCATAGATGATAATCCTCGGGTATAAAGCCTATGTCCAACTCACCTGTTAATTCCCTACTATGTGTCAGGCATGTGGCAGGTTCTCAACAGATGAATGGAGAGGGTGAATAAATGCTTCCATGCGAAGGTGAATTGATGGCCCTTAATTTGCATGTCTGTGTGCATATTTAATACTACCCTGAACTGAGAGTCGCTCAGTGGTGTCCGACTCTTTGCGACCCCATGGACTATACAGTCCATGGAATTCTACAGGCCAGAACACTGGAGTGGGTAGCCTTTCCCTTCTCCAGGGGATCTTCCCAACCCAGCGATCGAAGCCAGGTTTCCCGCATTGCAGGCGGATTCTTTACCAGCTGAGCTATCAGGGAAGCCCCACCACAAAAAGGAAACAAAGAGTGTCTGATGATTCCTAAAATAAATTAAATGTAGCATTGTCATATGGTCCAATGATTTCAAAAACATAAATGAATCTAAACAGATACTTGCACACCAATGTTCATAGGCAGCATATTCATAATAATCAAATGGTAGAAGCAGCTCGAATGCCCATTGACAGATGAACGGATAAACAAAATGTGGTATGTACATACAATGGAAAATCATTCAGTCTTTAAAAGTAAGGAAATTCTAACACAGGCTACAAATGGAGGCCCTTTGAGAACATCATGCTAAGTGAAATAAGTCCAACACAAAAATATGAATAAGGTATGATTCCACCTATCTGAGGTACACAGAATAGTTCAATATATACCAACAGAAGGTAGAATGGAGTTATCAGAGACTGCTTCTACTTGGTATGACAGGGAAATTCTAGAAATGGATAGTGATGATGGTTGCATAACAATGTAAATGTATTTAATGCCACTGAATTGCACACTCAAAAAGGATTAAAATGGTTATGTTTATGTGTTGTATATTTTACCACAATGAGCGAGGAAATAAAGCAATGTTCATTTTTATGCTAACATTTCAGAATCAGCCAAGAGAACATCAATGCTGCACATATAGCTTGCATCTAGTTGTAAGTGGAAAAGGAGGCCTGCCCTGCATGGTCACACAGTTTCAAGGGGACATGGGCTAGTTAATTCCTAATAGCTGTGCACTGCCTTTTTCCCCATTTGTTTCCACAAGAAACCCACTGGCTTTCCCCCCAAGCTTCCAAGGCTAGAAGTTACAGGAAAATCTTCCTTGCCACTTGAATTGTACCACCCATCTGAGGATTACTCGCCAACTACTGCAGATTGTCTTCCAATGGACAAAGAAACAGTGAACTTATTTGGGGTCGCTCTTTCTAGCACCCAGTCTAGAGCAGCCATGTCACACAGGGAGCCAGAGCTCAGCCTTACAGAAATGCAACTCTCCAAATGATTAGTTGTGTGGCATTGGGAACATCACTTTAAGTGAGCCTCAGTTTCCTCATCTATAAAATGGGGACCCACTATGCCTAGGGCTTCCAAGGTGGCACAGTGGTAAAGAATTTGCCTGCTAATGCAAGAGATGCAAGAGACAAGCGCACATGCGTGCATGAGCATGCACACACACACACACACACACAACACCTACCTCGTACGGTGGTGCTAAGGCCTAAATGAACTAATAAGTGCTTAGCAGAGCGTTGACAATAAAAAGAGTATTCAATGAATACAATTTTCATAGAAGAGATTCATTATTGGTGGTACCAAGAGTAGGGGAAGGAAGTCATACGTGTCACTAAGGGAGCTTAAATATATCAGCTCTACAATCTGAATCTCACACAGGCCAGCCAGTCAGGGGGAGCCTCAGGAGTGAGCAGGAACACCAGCAGGTTATTAAATGGGAATTTCCAGGGAGATGTGCAGTTCTCGAATAATCCTTTTTACTGTCCCTCTCATTCCTTAACTCATTCCTTAATCTGTGGATAGTTTCTGTCTCTGCTGATAGATTTACACCTTTTTCTCACATCTATTAGAAAGTGTACCCATTCACGCTCAGTAAATGTCTTGAAACCTGTGAATCCAAAAATGTTAGGATTATGTTAATATAATGTCAAGTAAACAGAAGTCAAATTAAGAAAGTTGCAGGATGAAGTCATTCCCATCAGTATGATGGTTTGGATGACCTTTGACCATACAATGATGGTTCTTCCATGATTTCCGTCAATCAGTCAAATTCTCATACTGATAGTGCTGACTTGAATTTACTAACTCAATTATTTTCTCAATTTAACTATTCAGGTGCATCCTCCCAAAACCTGGAGAGATTTATAGAAACGTAAGTGAAAAATGGAGGGATATAAGAAGTTGTTATATGTTGGGTTTCTATTTTGAAAAATTAATAAAAAAAAAACTCTCTGTTATTATCCAGTAGCCACTTATACTGAACATCCATAACTTGTTAGTCACTCTCCAAACACTGGGAAATTTTCACTTCTTGGGCCAGTGACCACAGGATGTGGTTAATTTACATGTATACTTTCAAAAGGATCATAAAAATGTATACAAAGTGGGTAAAACTTAGGTCTGGCCCAAGTATCTGAAAAAGACAAAAAAAGACTGTTTCTTATTCCTGCTTTATGAATGAGAAAACAAGTTTTTGCTCATATTTGACTTAAAATTCATTAGCAAGGCCTGGGTTGTCCAGAATAGGAAACTTGAGAAACCCTTGATTTTTCAAAGTTGACTATGTCCACAGCTGTCGTAATGTCATAATGTCCTACACATCTGGATGTAAGTACCTCAGGAAACTGCTCTGGGTTTACTGATGACAAATATTGTGAAAGATGGTAGCGTGTCTTTCACGAAAGATGGAGACTTCAACCTACTCTAAATGTAGGTATGTATTTATGTGGTCTTTTCCTAATGGAGGAGTGGGTTAAAGATTATAAAGAAGAGGGGAAGTGGGAATGGAGACACTAGAATGAAATAAAAATAGCAAAAAGTTACCCAGAGGATGGCCACTTGAAGATTCTTTCACATGTTGGTTTTTCCCAAAGCTAGGTTTCCAAGTGTTTGATATTCAAATTCCATCTATGGCTTCTCAGTTTATCTAGGAACCAGCTGTTGGACTATCCAGCCATTGTCATATATGCCATGATTGGAAATGATGTCTGCAGTGGGTGAGTTACTAAAAAATGTTAGGAAGGTTCTTTGAGATTCCCCTCATCTCCACTCCATTACAGTAGCCTGCTTCCCTATCTTAACAAGTCCTGGACACATGTCGACTCAATAGAATCAAGCTTTAGAGCTGAAAGACCCTTTGAAAAATATCTGATCCCATTAATTCTTTGCTCTGCTTCACAACAAATAGGTGTGTCATGATCAACTCTGAATTACATCACAAGACATATGCTACTGCTAGCCAAAAATCCAAGACTGAGAAGCGTGACTTTTGAAATAAAATAAAGCAAAATCACAGCTATCCCATAAGAACAGCTTTTTCACTCATCTTCTGATTTACTTACTCGTGTGGTTGAGATAGCATAGACTTAGAGCTTTGCAAAGAAACCTACACATAGTTCACAGCCAATCCTATTTGTGCCCATGGCCCATAGTAAGAAAGTGGTTTTGCTAAACTGCTAATATCAGTAGTGATTTCAAAATGTTGAATGCCTTCGTTCCCCCACAACATTTTGGAAGGCTTCTCAAAGTCTGTGCATACCCCTAAGAATATGCCGCACATGTGAATGCCATCTGTCCTGTGATCATGGCCAAAAAGAAAAAAAAAGGTGAGATCAGATCTAAAACAACTCCCCAGTAGCCACCCACTCATCATTTTGGAAAACAGAAAAGCAAAGCCAAGAGAGGTGACATGAGTTGTCCAGTTAGTGATGGATGGCAGAGCTGGACTCCAACCAAGAGGTACTAGAAGCAGGCCACCCTGCTCACTGCCCACCTTTTGCTTTTCTATACTTCACTCACCAAGAGCTTTTTAAGCTTGTGCTAAAGACATGGTTGAATATTATGAAATTGTGTTTGCCCTCATGGATGCCTCCGTGAGAGCCTCAGAACTCTTATGGTGAAGTAGGTGTAGACCTAATCAGTGAAGTGAGTTCAGGGCAGGAGATTCCATGCTGCAACCCAGAGATACTCATGTGCCCTGCCTTGGCAGCCCCTAGGCTGATTTACCACTCTGCCCAGAATCCCAAGTCTGCCAAGGCTACATTCTGGGGACCCAAGTTAGCTCTGTGATGAGCCACCTGGTATTCTCCAGTACATAGCAAACACCCCCAAAACCTTCTATGAACCATGAGCCACACCACTCTCTGTATCATCTCATCCCCACAGCAGCCCTAAGAAGCAAGTGCTATTGCTCCACTTGACAAATGAGGAAACAGTTTCAGCAAGGTTATTGAGAAACTTACTTCCGTAGTTAGTGAGGAGCAAAGATGTGAGCCCAACAAGGGTCTCTGGCTAAATTCTGTGTCCTTTCTACAGTCCACACTTGTCTCATTTGCTTTCTTTTATGCACACGCTTTTTTTTTTCCATTTATTTTTATTAGTTGGAGGCTAATTATTTTGCATCATTGCAGTGGTTTTTGTCATACATTGAAATGAATTAGCCATGGATTTACATGTATTCCCCATCCCGGTCCCCCCTCCCACCTCCCTCTCCACCCGATCCCTCTGGGTCTTCCCAGTGCACCAGGCC